TAGGCGGCCGCTCGCAGGACGGGTGTGGCGGCCGCTCACAGAGCGAAAACCGGGCCTCCCGTGAGAGCCCGAATGGCGGAGGCCGTCTGCCGGTTCGGTCGGGGCGGGCCGCGCTGCTTTGGGTGCCGACCGCTTACAGAAGCGGCTGCTGGCTGCGGGACTAGACTTCTGCACCTGCCATGGGGCCGCCTGAAGAGCTGGGTAGCTGTGGCCGCGTGGTTAAGAGCCAGGCGGGTGGGGCAGCCGCTTGCCGATCGAGAGCTGGGCCTCCCGGGAGAGCCGCTTGCAGGAGCAGCTGATGGCTGCGGGACTAGACCTCTGTGCCCGCGTGGCCGGCCAAGATCCACTTCTCTGGGACAAACTGTCACTTCCAATAAACCTACCAGTTCACAGCAGCTCTCCTCTTAAGGGAATTTTGCTAGGAGTTCCTCCATAGGTAGGCTGCAGCTGTTCCAATGGGTCTTTATGATCCCGTTAAAGTGGAGACATTGGAATCGCTGCTTCCTTGCTGGCTGCCATGTTGGATCCCTCTAACATATTTCTTAAGGAGAATATGAACACCAAATGGGATATTATGCTATCTTATTTTTAAACACAACAGAGGCAATCAGAGGAATCAGAACAATGGCAGGAAGTTCCAGAAACATCTGTGCTGTGTCATGTCAGTGTTGTATTGCTGCTAGGTGCTCTCACTATGTTCCACCTGTTATGGCCTTTCTTGGCCTCCAGGAAATGTTGGGCACACATGGTTTGACTAAGTGTCTCTGCTCGAGTATCACCAATTTAAAGAGGATTCCCTTGACCATACCTCTAAAACAAAGGCTCCTTGAACTCTCTGTCCTCTTCACCTACTTAATTTTTCTTCATAGGCTGCCTGAGTATAGATAAAATATTGATATATGTCTCCAAAGGTCCAAAAGGACAGATTCTTCATGTTCTCATCTACTGATGCATCTCATCATGAGAACAATGCCTGGTGCTTAATAAGCAATCAATATTTTGTTGTTGTTAAAAAGTTTCATATTACAAATGTAACCCCGATTCTAATAGTCTGAGTGTTTACCTTTCATTTTAAGGAGAGGACCTGACATCCAAAAAGGTTAAATTATGTCCCCCAAACTCCTGCTAGGAAATGGTGCAACTGTAATTGGATTCTTTGTTCCCTGCTTCTAAATCTAGTGTTCTTGCAGCGATAGCAGGCTGTCAACTGTACCTATGGATTCAATCCTTCATTGAAGTTCCTTTTTTATATCCCTACATCCTATGAGCTTAATCCTACATTATTTAAGAGTGTTTAAAAGTATTCAAATCTGAAAAACATGTCTTCATTCCAAATTTCAACTTTAGAAAGTCCCTAAACAAAATAAAAACCTAATTATAGTTGTAAGAAATGTAACATATAAACTACTGATCTCATTGTTCAACTACTTCTCAACTCCATTCTTATATTGTACTATAAAAATCAAGTTGAGCATGAGTCTTAACTAAATTAAAATGCATTTGGTATGATTTAGTGTTAGCAAGCATCCACAAATTTAAAAATGATAATAATAGTGCTTAAAGCCATCATTGTTTGTTAGGATTTCTAAGGTTGAAGGGATCACAGCTCTTGTTAGATTTTACATGAAAATAACCCCAAGGGAAGATTTTTTTTTCCTGTCCTCTTCTCTTATTTCCTCTCCTGTCTTTCCTTCTGCTCCTCTCACCTCCCCTCTTTTTTTTTTTTTTTTAATTCTCTCTTCTTTCTGGTCAAAATGGTTTCCTTAATCTGTTACTTGGACTTCTGATTTCTGACATGTATTTTTTATTTTAAAATTTCCCCCCAAATTATTTCTTCTTCTTCTTCTTCTTCTTCTTCTTCTTCTTCTTCTTATTATTATTATTATTATTATTATTATTATTATTATTATAGATTTAGTTCTTATGTGAACTAATTGAGCAAATAGTAGTTAGTCTTTACAAGTGACAACAGTAGTTCTTATGAACTCAACTTCTGTGGTCCAATGACTTCAATTTGAATCATATACGACTTAACACTAACCTTGAGCAAATATCTCAACTTCTCCAAACCACATTTTTTCTATATGTAGAGATCACAATAGCCACTTACTGTAATATTATTGCAAGAATTATGCAGAAGTCTTTAGTAGAGTTAGTCATTATTTTTATTACTATCATAATTATCATCATCATCATTTAATGTATCAGATGCTCTCAAGATCTTATAAGAGCTACTAACATATTTCCTATCCACTATCTAAGAGAAATTTATGGATTTATTATTAGAAGATGCCAACTCAGTTCCACCCAGTTCATCAGAATGTCTGATTCTTTTGCTCTGAGAAAGCCCTATACTATATCTCAGAAGCATCAACTTACCTGTAATACATCTTTAGAATGGGACAATCATTTGCCTAATAATTCAAAGAGCAAGCCCTATGGCAGTCCCAAGCCCACCCAAACAGTGCTGGGAAAATTGAAGTAAGAAACTTAAAATAGCAGACTTTCTTTTCTCAAAGTTCCCAACACCATTTCTTTAATACCTTTTCTGTTTGTGAGATTTGACAAGGAAATAAAGGCATTGCTTCAGGCCGTTTCAATCTTACAATGTTAAGTATTCTCTTAAAATGGCTACAACTACGAGATATTCTTTATATCCATGTCATTACTGGAGAAAAATTGTGAGTGTCTGGGGAAGGGTGTAGAAGAAATCTTAATAAAACACTCGCACACAAAACAAATAAATAAATAAATCCCACTGCTCCATTTGAAAGACATCTCTTTCTACTTAGTTTATATCACTCACGAAATGGTGAGAAGTTGAATGATCAGCATCCTTCCAAATGATTTGAAAAACTATGGGGCATAAAGAGAAGGAAAATGGAACAGTTTGCCAGTTGTAGTATAATAGACATTGACTACCTACTGAAATATGAGTGTATAATAAACCCACAAGGTCAAAGAGATGAAAGAAAGGAAGAGGAGGGTACAGATTTAACTTAGAGTAGTACCTGAAACTAAGAGTAGGATATAATCTTCTGGAATTAGCCACTCACTCAAAGTAAACTTCACTGAACATGCTATGGTAATTGACAACAATAATCATAAGCATGCAGGAACTCCATGTGTGTGTTTATTTATCCCCCTTAAGATCTTTACATGAAATGACATTTAAAAATATACAAGATGCAAACATATTTAGAGAGCAAACAGGAAAATTGTATTAGATGGAAATAATATTAGGGTGGGGAAAGGGAAGGCAGCAGAAACAGGGGTATCCAAAAAGGAATGATTATATTGTCCTCAAACATCAGCAATGATGAAGTAATGTCTTCACGGTTTGGGAAGAAAATGCTTCTGAATTTAGATTTCATTCTCCTTCCAACTGTCAATTAAAAGTGCAGGAGGGCACTTTTAATTTTATTTAAAAATAAAATTTTTAAGGCAGTCAAAAAATAAGAAATGCTTATCTCCATGTAAATGTTCTAAAAATATTATCTGAGGATGGACTCAAGAAAAATGAAAACATAGAGACAAAATGCAAAGTCAAAAACATACAAACAGTGGGAACAAACACAGAAGATCTTCAGAACATAATTACAGGAAGAAAAATATGCAGCAGCTCACCTGGAGTGTAGGATCCAATCAGAGCAGGAGGGCAGCAGCATGTGACGTGACCATTACATGCATTCCATTCAGCTGGCAGTTTCTTTAAAAGGCTGCAAGAGATAAGTGATAACTTAAGAAGGTACATGCTTCTTTTGCCAACCGAAAAAGACAAGAAGAAATTCCAGGGAAAACAAAAATTTGCACATAAAATAATTTTATAAATGTAAATCAAATATAAATGTAATATTGAATTAAAAAATTAATTGACAGAGGGGCTAGGGCTGGGGCTCAGTGGCAGAGCACTCACCTCACATGTGTGAGGCCCTGGGTTCGATCCCCACACTACATAAAAATAAGTGAATAAAATAAAGGTATTGTGTCCAACTACAACTAAAAAATAAATATTTAAAAAAATTAACTGACAGAGAAAATGACATTTTACCTAACTCTGATACTTCAAGAAACAAAGTTCTTTAAAGAACAAACTCCTATAAACAGACAGGCTTACCAAACAATGCTATTTCCAAGTTATCCATTTTTAAAAGTAGTAACTAGACAAGTTATAGAAGACTGGATTTCAGAATTACTGAAAGACTGAATTATGGAATAGAAAGTATACAACACACATACCTGACAGCAGTCTGGAAATAGAAAGAAGAAAAATGTTGAAGGACAATACTGAGGACTAATTCCCACATTTAGTATAATGGAAAATAAGAAATATTATCTGACATTTGAAATAGATTATTATATAGGTATTTAGGCATATTTTAATGTAATAGATATACAGGACTATTTAAAATAGATATTTGAGTATATTTTAAACTTTAGTAGAACTATAGGTAATGGAAACTACAACTTAAAGATTAGAAGAATTATTAAAATAATGTAGAATGTGAAGCAAACTCACCAAGAGGCAGTTTGCTTAACATTGTTGAGTTTCCTGAAATGCAGGAAAAATTCCAGGAAAATTCTAGACAAATTGGTCACCCTAGAAGTAAAATTCCTCATATCTAATAGCATACAGTCAAAATAAAAAGGAGTTAAGAAATAGATATATCTATTATATATAATATAATAATATCAGCATATTATTTAACTATACATTGATATTCATAACAATGGTGAATATATTATTCTTTGAAGCCATACAGACTTGGATTATAAAACATTTCTATTAATTATTGAACAAAAAACTAACCTCTTATAATCACATCTACCTCTTTAGGCCATTGTGATAATAATGTCAAATACAACACATAAAGTAATTAAAAGAGACCCTGGCAAACATAACAGTTCATGAATGATATGTTGGAATGGTTATCATTGATATTCTTTACAAAAGTCATGAGCTGCATGTATAAATTTATATGAAAAGCATATTGATTATTCAACTAGTTGTTAGACTTTTAAATATCTATGGAATGAATTTTAGGGCTTTAAATAGCAGACCAACATGCTGAAAAATGTTTCAAGATGGTTATAATTGGTGTTCTGATGGGGATAAATGGTGAACAGGAGAGCAGTACTTTAAATGGCGTAGTTACATAATACTTCAGGTGTATGTTTTTAACTCACCTTCACCAGAGAGGAAGAGAGAAAAGGGAGAAAGGTTGCTATGGTAGATGCAATCATACCTGAAATCATCAATTTTGCTTGATGGAAACATAGAAAACACATGTGTGTGTATGTGTTTTTTTATTGGTTGTTCACAACATTACAAAGCTCTTGACATATCATATTTCATACATTAGATTGAAGTGGGTTATGAACTCCCAATTTTACCCCAAATGCAGATTGCAGAATCACGTCGATGTGTGTGTTTTTAAGGTTTTTACTATGAGTGCAACTTAAAATATTTCTGTAATTCCATAAATTAGTGGTATAATGTTGTGAATATCTCTGAAGAAGAAATTGAAAAATTGATCAAGAGTTATAGAAAAATACTGGTGGAGGTAAAGGTAGTATTTTATATGTTTTTTATTGTTTTAAAGAAATATCCAAAATAATTCACCTTAAAGTAATTCTTTTACTTATATACTGGCTTAAAACTAAAGCTTTGTATAAAATTATTTTTCATAATGTACATTTGTAGGCGATATAAGTCCTAATTTTATAGGAATCATAAAATGATGCTCACAACTATGAGATAATGTGATAAAATGGGTTACAGTAAATTTTAAGTGAAAAAAATAGAAGGACATAAATTTTAATTTTTACCATGACTATAAGTAAATAAAAGGGTAGATAGAAAAAAAACTTAAAAAGAAACATATTAAAAAGATATTATTCACCAGAGTTGCACTAAGATGATGGGGTTATGGGTGATTTTATTTCATTTTCCCTGGTTTGTAAAATTCAAAAAGTATATGGTTTTACAAACATATGGACAAGCAGACACAAAACATTAATAATAATGCAGACTAGAGCTCTAACCCAAATCCATCTTTAGAAATTATTCAGATTGCAGAATTTTGTAATAATCACAAATAATAATGGCTAGACTTTCCTTCAGGAACTCCAGATTAACTTGCTCCACTGCATCATCTGATTTATCTACACCAAAGTAGAAAGTAACAACAGATTATTGTAAAACTACTTGTATTTGACTTTGAAATACTTCCAAAATCCATTTCAACCAGATGTGCACTCAGACCTATAATAATTATCTCCCACTTTCTCTATGCTAACCAAATGTATTTCCTACTTGACAAGACCACAATGTCCAAGTTCAACTGTATCACACCATTATTCCAAAGCATGGCTACAGCAATATCCTATAGCTGAATCAAAGAAACAGAAGCCTGGCTCTTCAGTCAGACTTTGATGGGCGGTAGGCATATACTTGGGTGTTCGTTTGTGATGCTCACACAAGAACTCTCATTACTATGCTAATTAATATTGAAAACACATAAAATCATATCCCAGAAACAGAACAACTGCAGACATTGGAAAGCCTATTACATATGAGAGCCCAGAAATGTAACAAATTTTGCTATCTTTTTTCATCCCCAGTTTCATCACAAATTTATATGCTCATTCAATAAACATCAAACCAAAAAACCTCTTGCACAGCAAAGGAAACAATCATCAGAGTGAAGGGGCAACTTACAGAATGGGAGAAAATATTTGCAAACTGTACAACTGGCAAAGGGTTGAAATCCAGAATATATAAGGAAAAACTCAATTATAACAAACAACCCAGTTACAAAATAGGCAATATACCTCTATAGAGTTTTCTCAAAAGAAAAAAAATACAAATGACCAAAAGGCTTATGATAAAATACTCAACATCACACTCACTATCAGGGAAATGCAAATCAAAACCACTATGAGATCTCACCTCAACCCAATAAAAATGACTGTTATTAAAATGACAAGAGATAACAAGTGCTGGTGAGGATGTGGAGATAAAGGAACTCTTGCACAGTGTTGGGAGGAATGTGAATTAATAAAGCCATTATGGAAAAATAGTATGGACATTCTTCAAAAAACAATCCAACTACTGGGTATATATCCAAAAGAATGGAAATTAATATGCTGAAAAGACATCTGCACTCCTATGTTTATTTCAGCACTATTCAAAATAGCTAAGAAATGGAAACTACCAAAGTGTCTAACAACTGATGAATGAATAAAAAAAAAAGGTGATATGTATATGCACAATGAAATATTATTCAGCCATATAAATAATGAAATCCTTGCATTTGCATCAATGAGGATGAAACTAGAGGTCATTATGTTAAGTAAAATAAGTCAGGCACAGGAAGAAAAATAACATGATCTCACTCACATGTGGAACATAAAAATATACTTTATGTTGATCTCATTGAAGTTGAGAGTAGAATGGGAGAGAAGGAAGGAAATGAGGAAGAAATAGGGAAAGGCTGATTAATAAGTACGAAGTGATAGAAAAAAGGAATAAAAAGCTCTGGTATGATATTAAAAGTAGGGTGATTACAGATAACAATCATATGCTGCATATTTCAAAAAACTAGAAGCAAGGACTTTGAAGAAAATTAAAAGAAACAATAACAAGAGCTAACATATATTGCATTCTTACTAAATCAGGTACTGACCTAAGAATTTAGGCATTTACCCTTATCTTACTGATAAAGAGTTTGAGGTCTGGATGGTAAATTAACTTGCAAAGAAGCTATAGATAAGCACTGAATCCAGGACTTACATTTTCATTTGCCAGTAAAGCCAGAACACTTTATCAACTATGAAAGGTCCTTCTATTTATTGAGGATCTAATAAGTTCTGGGGATATATAGGTGCCAGGAACACAAAGCTGAATAAGCACTCTGCCATTCAAAATGTCTGTGGGTTTTCAGACATCATTCAGTGATATTCCTTCCCAGGCTATCTGCAAAGTTTCAGCATAAAAAATGTAGCCACTTACATGTAAGAGGACTATTAGCGTTTCATTGTCAAATGTAAGATTTGTAGATTATTTTTATATGCCATCAATTTTAGAATTTCCAAATGGCTGTTCTCATGTGACCAACTTGACTCAATGGCATGCCCTTTTTCTTATGACGTCCTCTCTCATAAATAATAGCAGGGCTGAAGAGAGAAAAGAGTCGAAAACTTTGGTACCAGGAAACCCAGTTGTAAGATGTCTTCACTTCCTGTAATCGGGCTCTGATACTTGGCACTCAGCCACATAGTAGTCTCTAGAGCAAGAACCATATGAAAAAAATCACTGAGGAATCCAGGACAGAAAGTCTTACTGTGTTAGTCAGCTTTCTATCAATATAATAAAACACCTGAGATAATCAACTTATGAAGAGAAGGGTTTATTTGTATGGCACTTTAAGCACTCTTGGTCTAAGATCATGTGGATCCACTACCGTGGCCCTCTGGTGGGCATGTTGGATGGCAATGGAAGCACAACTACTCACCTCTTGGCCAGAAAGCAAAAGAGAAGGAGGAAAAGCCTGAGGTTCCAGAAGCTTCTTCAAGGGCACACCCTAAGGACATCCCACTGGGCTCCACGTCTCTCAAATGTGTGCCACGTCCCAAGAGTGCCACCTGGGGACCATCCTTTTAACACATGGGGCTTGGGAATATGGTAATATCCTAACTATAGAGCTTATCATGTGCACACAGTAGCCAGAATGATCATGAAAACTTGTAACTTAGCTGTCTAAAACCTTCAGACTTCCCATTCTTGTGTGGATTAAATCTGTAGGACTCTGTTGCAAAAGCTCAAAAGATGAGGACTCGTTCAGTCAGCAAATGGTTCGAAAGGGGTGTCTTCCAGGCCATGCCTCCCATTCCAGTCATATTTCAAGCTACTTTTCTCCTTACTCACCACAGGCCAAGGATAATGGCCTTGTTTTTGTTATTCTTTCTTGCAGGGCTTCTGTTCATCCTACTCCTAAATTCCTTTGGCCCACCCACTGTCCCTAACCTCCTTGGCATTTCCTGTGTAGGCCTTGACCAACCGCCTCCTCAGATCAAGATGAATTGAATAAAATGTTTTACTGGAATAAAGAAATGTGGCTAATGTTTCTGCAAAAGCTAAAATTTTCAACCTCTGAAGATTTCTTCATAGCTTTTATTACACAGAATAGAATTTTACATAGAATAGAATTTCTTACATAGCCTTTATTACTAGAATCTAATAGTCACTTGCTTGAAAATTTGTCTGATGTTTGTGTCCCCTGATCCATTTTAGCTTGAGGAAGACAGACCACATATATCATGTTCACCATGTATATTGAAGTCCGGTGTCAGTGACACCCTCACTCTCAGAGAATTATTTGTTAATTTTATGAAAATTCACTGAAAAAGAATCAAAAGGACAGTCATCTTGTGATCCTTTACCGGGAACTGTCGGAGATCCAAGATGATCAGGAATTTTCTCTTGCAGGCCTGCCACCTCTTGGCACTCTCTCCCTCCAATTGAATATTTCCTTCTAAAAGTGCCTACCTTGAAAGATCTGAATTTTGACAATGCAAGAATTTTCCCCAAAGAGGGATATGAAGGACCTCCTGCTGGCCCTCCCCTCCCCTCTATATCAGAAGACATCCCTGACAAAGGGTACCCACTTTGGAATCTTTCCCACATCCATCCTGTTCATTCAGCATAAAAGCTGAGCATTCCCTGAGCACTCACAAATATAAAGGCAGTTCCTGTCTTCAAAGAGCTTCTAAGAAAAGGAAGAAGAGTTTGCAAACTAAACCAGTGACAGCTTCACAGGAGCAATTCTGAGAGAGGCCCTCAGAGGAGAGGCACCTGGATACTAAGAAATCCAGGGAGTGGTCCTTTTGAAATCCTCCTACCAAGAGTTGGGACTTGAGAGACCACTGACAGGCCAGGAGAACCCATGAAAAGCAATCCAATTAACACAGATAGTTTGTGGAACAGCCAGGAGGGGAAGAGAGAAAACACAAATGAGAAAAATGCCAGAAGCTGAAGGTTAACTGTAGAGTCCTGAAGAGACCCGGGCCAGGCCCAGAGCAAGGAGGATGTTTAGGACACTATCCTGAAGGCAGTAGGAAGTAGTAAAGGCTCTAAGCCTAGAAGCAGGCTGGGGAAATCAGATTTGCAGCTTAGAAAGAGCACCTTGAAACAAGGGGCTTACTCATCCTAAGGGAGGGGAAGGGTAAGTGGATTCCACCGCACATTCATATGTAAACATGAGAGTTGGTATATAAAAAAATGTAATGATCTATGTGTGTTGAAAGTGGATAAACTCCCTAATATTTGAGAAAATGTTTACATACCTCATTTCCCTAGAAGTAAATTAGGAAATGATGATAATGGTTCTGCAAAACCTAAAGACTGCTGGTGACTCATTATCCAATTAATTGACATGAATAAATTGGGTAAATCAAGCTAAATGAGAGTCAGTCACTGTATACAAATAAAGAAGGAGTGTTTAATGGGTTCTGAGTTTTTGTTTTGCTGCGTGTGTGTGTGTGTGTGTGTGTGTGTGTGTGTGTGTGTGTGAGTGGGTGTGTGTTTCCATCCAAAATAATAAAATCAGAGATCCTGAACCTCACCCATGAGAAGTAGGCCAGTCACGTCCACTGAGTCCCTTACCTGCAGAGACAGAGCAAGGGGAGTGATGTGGGTGTGGAACTTGGAGCTGGAGGTGGTCAAGCTGGGCCTTGAAGCCTCTGTTGGTCCCTAGAGTTCCACTCACTGTGGCAACTTCACAGAAACCAGCCCTAGGCATCTAGTAGCAAGTGGCACCATGCAACCCCAAAATACATTTTTCAGAAGAGAGGGCTAGAGCTATTATCAGAGGTGGAGATCATTAGAGCTGCTTGTTTCATTACTGAGAAGCTCGTACATCAGAGAACACGCCTGCCTTCTTAGCAAAACTGGCACCTGAAGGCAATCACGTTTCTTCCTGGTGAAAATGGAACAGCATTATTTATGCTGATATGTGTTAGAAAAATATGTGAGCATCTATGATGAAACTGTGAAGGCAGAATTCAGAAGTGTGAGCACATTCTCACTACCAAATTGGTAACCTTTTAAGAAATCTGTGCTCATCAGATTTTGTCATAATGTGGGGCAAGACCAACAAGCTATGCATGTGTCCTGAAGTCTCTGTGCATACCTGAGTGTCCATATTTCTAAACTATTCTATTTCTCCCACAACCAAAGTGGTTTACATTCCTCCCATGACCTCCCCAAAAGACAGATTAAATTATGAAGCCATTGTCAGGCTTGAGGTGCTAGGACCTTGTCATCTGAACCAGGTGAAGGTGGCTGAAAGTCTTTGGGTTTAATTCCAGGGGTTTTATTCATTTTGATAAAAAAAACATATATACTAGCAAAAAAAAAAAAACCCACAAGCCATTGTCCCTTCATGGGATATGGCAGGACAAACATGGGATAACCAAAATAAACATTCCTGTTCGAAAACAGGAGCAGATGGAAGGTACACAGTACTTAGTCCACAACAAGGCACATCTTACTAGTTCCTTGATTCGGGAAAGAAATACTCTCTAAAAGTCATTCTAACATCCAGGCTCTTGATTCCGTCCTCCGGCCCATCTTTCATCTTACAGAAATAGCTTTATGTTTGCAATTGAGTAATTTACTTTAGGGCTGCTTCTTAATCTAGAAGCTCAGTGGCCCAAAGGCCATCTTTAAGTTTTTATTATCTTCACCCTTTTCTGTCCAAGCTCCTACAATTCTTTTAAGTACCTTAGTGGTATTCCTGCATATCAATTTATAATCTACACATTTAGGAAAAAAACACACATTCATTAATGTTTTCAGAACAGGTTCTCCTCTCATGGGAGAGTTCTTTGAAACTGCTATAGAAGGATGCCCTGGAGATTCTTGGAAGTTCTATTGTTTAATGAAAATGTTTGGTGAAGCATATGTATATATTCTTTTTAGCATATATTTTGTCTAGTTGAAGAATTTTTGAGGTGCTGACATGAATGTTTTTAATGTTCCATCAAGTATTTTACTAGTCACACTCTAAGCTTTGTTATTTCCAGGTAACACCCTGGATTGGACTTGGGCCTTCAGCCATTTTTGACTTTGAGGACTTTCCACCTGTGGAAAGGAATACCTGGAGCCCTGGGATTCCTCTAAATCCTACTGAATGACTCAATAGTTCCTTCATCTCTCTCTTTTCACGTTTCATTACAAGCTGTCAGAGCCACACAGTGTCTCCAACATGCTTCCTGGAAACCTACTTAAACCACTGAGTTCAGTAGGTGCATTTCTGTTACCATGGTGGCAATTTCTGCCACCACTTTCCTGCTTCCACACCCTCACTGAGTCCTGCCAGTCTTCTGCCTGCCATTCCCTCACAAAATCCATGCCACAGACTTCAGGACTTAGTAGAGCAGCACCCTTCTTCCAAATCCTCAATTCTATTGTTAGCCATTTCTGTTTAATAGACCACAGCAAAATTATTGGCAAAGAAAAAAAAATACAATGATTTATGCCAACTAACTCCATTTCATATCATGTCATTGTGCTCTGTGGATCCATGAGGAGGTGCCTGCTCAGCTCTACAAAAGGTGGGAAGAGGGTCCCTGATTATCACACATTGTGTGCACCATACTGTTTAGTCTCCTCCATACTGGAGAGCAGAGAGGTTCAGATCCCCACTGGAACCAGCCGACACTGGGATACGTGGGGGAACCAGAGATCTAACTAACCCTGTTCAGTCCTATCCATGTTCAGTCTCATTCCAGATAGGTGAGGAATTAGGTTCCAGAGATCTCCAGTGACAGCAGAGGTAGAGCGAAAGTGGAGTGCTGATGACTTGACCCCATGCATACCACTTAGTATTTCATGGATGCTTACAGGAGATGGAGGCTCAGCTCCCCCACTGAGCCCTCTGACCCTGGAGGTAAACAGTGAAGCATAGTGGTGACTAGTCCTGCCTCACCCTCTTCATCATGTCTCATTGCTGCTGCTGGGTGTGGGTAGAATCTCAGCTTCCCTTGGGACCCTACTGGATTGCCTGGAGCCCAAAATGATAGCACTGCCTACTTTTGCCAGGTAGGGGATAGAAGATTGACTCTGGCACTATCCTGGCAAAGGAATCAGAGCACCACAGTGAGCTTCTGCTGGGAAAGAAGTAGGTTAGATCCCCACTTGGTATACTGACAACATACAGAAGATGAATATGAATATCACTACTTGCACATGCTTCCACAGGATAGGAGGATGGTGGGAAGCACCCACCTTCAACCTAGTCCTACTGAAACTGCAAGGAAGAATGATTTTTTTCCTGGCATATGGAAGGTACTACCATAAAAAGCTTCCTATTCTTAGATCACCCTTTCTCTAGACCTTTTACTATAGGCAACATGCTCTTCTTGGAAATGTAGGGTCTTTTGATGGTTCTGGATTACAAACTTCTGTGGCTCCTCACAGAAGATATGCAGGAAGCAATAAAGAAATGTAGGGCGCTGAGAAGTCGTTAGGCAGTCTGACTTCTGTCTACATTTCAGAATCTTCCTATGTTTGTTTGTTTGGGTTCCTTTGGGGTTTTTCATTTGTAAGAAGGACCTGGGAGAAATGGGGCCAATCCATTGTTGCCAAATATGGAAGAGCCCATGTATATTTCTGATTTCCCAGGAAAAGGCAAACAGGTATTAACTATCTTGTTCTAAAGACCATAAAGTCAGAAGGCTACAGGTTTATAGTTATAAAGATGAAAAACAGTATACAGCCTCAAGTGATCAAAGATATACTAAATGGGCCCATGAGCACAAGGAAAAGAAGATAGCAAGATTATTTTGGGTATGATCTTGAAGTCCTGAATGACTGGGTGTATTAAAAAGGAAAAAAGGAAAAACCTCAAGGGTTGGTAGTAAGGATGATGATTCCTTTTTATAATAGTCTCTCAACTGCTAGTTTTGGCTTTGTTAGGTTTCTATTTTTAAATTGTATTGTGCCTGCTTGCATAAAGGTGTGTGTGAATTAATCTGAATTTTGATACTTTTGGTACTGTCTTAGTTGTTTCTGGCTGCAATAATGAAATACCAATAAACTGGTGGATATTATTACTATTTAACAAAATTTATTCCTTGCAATTATGGAGACAAGGAAATCCAGGATAAAGGGGTCAGCAAACTGAATTTCTAGTGAGGGCCCATTTACTGGTTCATGAAAGTTACCCTCTCACCATGACCTTACATGGCCAAAGAGTGGAGGCAGCTTTCCAGAGCATCTTTTAGAAGGATACAATCTCTTCCTAAAAGCCTCACCTTCTGATATTATCACCTCAGTGATTAGAACTCAATATTTGAATTCTGTGAAGGTACAAATGTTCAGACCATACTATTCCCTCCCTGATCTTCCCCAAATTTATGTCTTTCTCTATAGTATATTCATTCTATCCCCAAAGTCCCCCAAACCTTAACACATTTCAGCATTAAATCAAAAGTGTAAAGTTCAGAGTCTCATTTAAATATCATCTAAATCACCTAAGCGTAGACCACCTGTGCCCACCAGAAGGCAACCACTGCAGTGTGCTCTGCACCTGGCCTCACTGGAGCTGGACCCAGGGCCCCCCGAGGAGCACAGTGATCCTGTGAGAGGAGCAGAGCCTGGGGGCAGCATGAGCAGTAACCTCTGAGGGCCTCTGTGGTCACTCCTTTGAGATTGTGCCTCTGAGGCCCTTGGACTTTGGGCCTGTTATGGGAGTGGCAGTCCTAATGATATCCACAATATCCAGATGAACAGTACCTGGGCAATTTCCTGGCAACACTCTTGATATTCTTTTCCAAACATGCTTTCTTGTTCTTTTAAATATGGTCAGTCTGAGAATTAAAAAGAAAAAAAAGTTTAAGATCTGCTTTCCTTTTGATTAAAAAGTTCCATCTTTAAATAATTTCTCTTCTTGAATTCCACCATAAGCAGTCAGAAAAAGCCAAGCCATATCTTTTATCATTTGGCTTAAAAATTTCTTTAAACATCCTATTTCAAGTTCTACTTTCCACAAATTCGAAGACAGGCGCAAAATTCAACCAAGTTCTTGGCCACTTTATATCAACGATTGCCTTTCCTCAAGTTTCCGATAAATTGTTTCTCATTTCCATCTGAAATCTCATCAGAATGGCCTTTGCCATCCATATTCCTACCAATACTTTGTTCATGACCACTTAGGTCACCTCTAAGAAGATGAAGGCTTTCTCTATAGCTTCCCTCCTTTTTCTAAGCCATCACTAAAACTACCTTTAATGACATGTTCACGGAAACATAGGGTTTTTTTTCTAGCATACACCTTAAAATTCTTCTAGCTTCTACCCAATACCTAATTCCAAAACTGTATCCACATTTTAGGTGTTTGTTACAGTAACACCCCACTCTCAGTAGCAAAATTGTCTTCACCCATTCAGGCTGGAAAATTCTGAATACCATAACTAAATATCATACACTGGTTGACTTATAAACAACATAAGTTTATTTATCACATTTCTGGAAGTTAGAAGTCAAAAATCAAGGACCCATTAGATTCAGTGATTATGGAGGACCCATTTTCTGATCCATAGATGGTAACTTCTTGCTGTGTGTTCACATGGCTGAAGGGAAAAAAAAGCTCTCTTACAAGTTTTTTAAAAATAAGAGCACTAACCCTACTAGAAGAGACCTTAAGATCTAATCACTTGCCAAAGGTTCCACCTTCTAGTACTACCACCTTAGTGACAAGGATGCAACACACAAATTTGAGCAGAACACAAACATTTACACCATAGTAGGCAGCAATAATTTTTCCAATATAAGTAGAATTTTTGCCACAATAGTCTTATATGTTGAGAGGATTTTCGTATCAGGCTTTAAGACCCAAAGATATTAATATGTGAATATCCAAATTTGCTATACTCTGAACACAAAGAAGAGAGTTCTCAGGATTTCAAGTGAAAAGCCAAGAGAATATTTAATCTAAAATTTCAATATTTCCATTAAATTCCTTCCTATTAATTTCACAGGTGTGATGTCACAGAGGAGGATTGAAACTCCATGTTCTCTGGTTGAAACTCCATGTTTTAATCAGGCTTTTTATTGCTGTGACCAAAAGACCTGACAAGAACAATTTTAGAAGAGGAAACCTTTGTTTTGGCGCTCACAGCTTCAGAGTTCTCAGTCCATAGACAGCAGGCTCCATTCCTCTGAGCCCCAGCTGAGGCAGAACCTAATGGCATAAGAGTATGGTAGAGGACAGCAGCTCAGAACATGACACCAGGAAGCTCAGAGACAGTCCCCTCAGAAGGACAAAATATATACTCCAAAGGCATGCATGCCCCCAGTGATCTTTCTCCTTCAGCCATATCCTGTCTATAGTCACCACCCGGTTAATCCATACCTGTGGATTAATGCTAAGATTAGGCTAAGATTCTCATAACCCAATCATTTCACCTCTGAATGTTCTAGTGTTGTCTCACACATGAGCTTTTGGGTGACCACCCCATATCTAAACCATAACAGTCCCCGAGTGATATACACATCATGAGGAAGGGATATGTAGAGATTATTGGTTTCTTGACTCTAAGAGAAAGGTTGAATAATTTCAGAGTTTCATGACATCAATAAGTAATTCAGCAGTCTGTGCTTCAACATTTGTAGAAATTGTTCCTACCACATTTGAGGGTAAAAATAGGGAAATGAATGCTGGGTATTCCTTTGGAGTATTTGTGTTGTCCACCCATTTTACATTTTTCTTTCAGTTTCTTAACTATCACATGACAATTGTATTTTCATTGTTCTTTGTGCTTAAATTATCAACAGGTGTCTTTATTAATAATCCCCTACCCAAGTTCTTGTGACTGGGGTAGAAACATCCAATTGCTCTATCTGTAAGACCACCAATTCAGATTGGGCCTTATTCTGACATTGTGTTTTAAGGCTATTTCAAAATCTTAAGTGAATAGTCCAGGCAACATTGCTACTTCCCATTCCAGGTTTTTGCTTTCATATCAAATCCCTTGCTTCTGGCTTAAGGCTGATCAAAGAAAGTGAAGGTAGAGTTAGGGTCACATTGACCTCATGATCTATTCCTGAGTGCTGTCTAAAGGTGTTAAGAGGCCTATTCCTGCAGTCACCAATAGATTCATCCTTTCTTTGCTTGTAGGAGAAAATTAAAGTGCAATCTATTTCCACAGAACATTCTTTGAGCATGGCCTCTTATGGCTCTTGCTCTACTTCTCCAGATTTTCTAACCCCTCTAACCCCTACAATTTCATGTGTATTAAGTCCTGCCTGGAATCTTCCAACTCTGACTTTTCTATCCAATTTTTTACTTGTTGGATTAGTATTAGCATAAGAAACAAATTATATGAACCTTGAATCTGTGATTTATTTATTTTAAGAATAACTCTAAATTTATTTAGAAAATTTCTGTCTCTGTCTTATGTGTAGAATTTAGAAAGTAGTTAACAATGCTCTTGATTCAGACCAAGACGAGAATTTTAAGTCAAACATGATAGATCTTAATATGTTCTGAAGTGAATTTAATTTTAAGAAACAGTTGAGATTTGGAAGTTATTGGTTAGAAGGGAGAGGCTATAAATCAGGAGGGAAGATAGGAGTATTGCTAATGTAAGAGCCGAGCATGAGGGAGGACTAATACAGACTAAAGGCACTTTTATTCAGATTGCTGTTCAGGAAATTTTAAGAGAAATCATTTTAAGGGGGTTGGGGGTCTTTTGTTTGTTTTTGTTTTGTTTGTTACATTTTTCATTTGCCTTGGCTAAAAAATCTTTTGAAAGCAAAGATTTTGGAAACTGGAATCCTTTGGGAAGGTTTCTTTTGCAAAATGAGAGCATTTCCTTTCTAGTATATCTTTCAAAAGAATTGTTTTGTTCAAATTTAAAGTTTGCCTTAATCACCACTGTAATTTTAGATTATCTTTGATGAAATTATACCACTTAAATAGTAAATAAATAAGCTACAGTGAAAATACATCTTTGAAGCAAAACTGTCAATAATCTGCTAATATCCAGGGACCCAAAGACCTTGAAACGAATGATGTTCTCCTTTGAGGTCCTTTGAGCCTATTACTCTGGAGTCCCTTTGAGTGCAATGAGGCATGAACATGGACTGCAACACCATGAAAGCAACTATATTCTGAACTGTGTGTGTTGTGTCTTAGGCCCCTATTATTAGGTTTCTTCAGAGAAACAGAACCAATAGGATATAGAAAGAGGAAAAAAAATTATAAGGGATTGGCTGGTAAAATTATGGAGTCTGAGAAATCCTATGATCTATGGTCTGCAAGCTAGAAACCCAAGAAAGCTGGTGGTGTAGTTCTAGTCCAAACCCAAAGTCCTGAGAAACATGAGAGCTAAGGTTGTTAAGTACCAGTCTGAGTCTGAAGGCCCGATAACCAGTTGTGCCAGTGTCTGAAGGCAAAAGATGATGGATGTCCCAGCTCCAGAAGAGAGAAGGAGAGAATTTACCCCTTTCCTTTTTTGTTTCATAGAAGCTTTCAACTGATTGGATGAGATCATATGTATTGGTGAGGGGCAACTTTTTATTTGGTCTACTAATTCAAATACCACATTCTTCCAGAAACACCCTCACAGACACACCCAGAAAAAAACATTTCATCAGTCATCTGGTCATTCTTTATCCCAGTTAACAAAACTATCTATCACAGTCCCTCACCTAATAGTCAACCTTCTCAGATTTCAAATGAAAGATCTGGAATAGAGAATTTGCCTTCACTCAGACTATCATGGATAAAACAAAATAAAACTAAGTTCTCATAGGACTTTAACAGGTAACCCAAGATAAAGTTTTTCTTATAAGAAATCTGGCATAAGGATATTTTACTAACTCCCTGAAAGACAAACTTACCAAGTTTATACTACCTTCTTTTTCTAACAGTCTTCTTACATAAATTCATCAAAAAATATTGAGAGACAAACAGCGTTCTTTTTTAGTCACAAGATAGCTTCTCTCCATGGAAAAGAATTTTCAAGTCTGATCAGAGAATTAAAAGATTCCTAAAAAAAAAAAAAAAGGATGTATTATTCCTAGGAGACATTTGGGAACTGAAAAAATAAAGAAAACATAGCTCTGACCCACTGAAGAACACACTATCCATCAACATTAGAGAGACTCCAGACAGGTATCTCAAGGGGTCCCCTGGGAGTGCACTATTCTAATCCAGGTCTTGAGACACTGTGTAGAATCTAGAGAATTCTCAGCTGTTGAATCACCAAAAGTTCACTACAAAAACTGGTGAAAAATAAAATTTACAATTATTAGATTTAATTCAGATATAAAATAATTAAATATAATAAAATTATTTGAAGAACATAACCTTGATAGAGTCTTCTTAGTTCTTAAGCTGAGAAAGAGGATGTCAGGAGAAAATAATTATAAGACTTATAGGATGGTTTTAAGGCAGATCTTTCAAGGAGGCATACTAGTTAGGATTCTACAGATTTTATGATCTAATAGACCTGGATTGGTGGGCACAATGAGGAGGAGTTTGAAAGAGTTCTTGATGCTCCAGCTGTTAGCCTTGATAAGGAATCTCTGGGTGGTCCAATGTTTATCTTCCAGGAGCAGGTATTTCCCAGAGCAAGGAGAATTATTTTTGTGTGACATCAGTATTGTTTAGCATGGAAATAGGAAGGTAAGAATTGTTTAGTATGAGAAAGTGAGATATGTTTGGTGCCAATGTTCACTGGTATGGAGCAAAATTCTGGAATAATCATATTTGAAATTTTTTTCTTAATAAATACCTTTTTCTTTTAACCAAAGCTGCAAAACCGTCTTCTTTCACAGTGTTAACAATCTAGGCTGTAAGCAAAAAAAAAAATGCTTAAGCTGTTTATTAACAATACTAACAAAGGTAGTAAAAAGAAGGCAAGTGTTCTCAATCTTAAGAACATATTTTAATGCCAACTTTCCATTCATATCTCAAAGAGTAGGAAGAGAAAGGTTTGCTTTCAATTTACAAAATAGGTAAGATAATAATTTTTAAAAATCCATATTGTACAAATGTCTGATTTGGGACGCAAGTTCCAAACACTTGGTTATATGGAACAGCATGTCTGTACCTGGATGTGCTCCCACAGGAACAAGCTCTGTAAACACAAGCATTTCTCTGCAGATGGAGAGTAGGGATGAGGGTTCCTTTTCTTCTCAGAGTGATGGAGAGCACCAGCTACAGGACAGGCAGGCTCTGTGACGGGCATTAACAATGCGGATAGGAATGAAGTGTCCTTGGTTTCAGGGAACTCACAGTAGCACAGAAGGCACAGGCCCATGTAAATGGACAATCAAGGAAACTAGAGGAGGGCCTCCATCCCAGGACCTGAGAATACTGACATCAGGCCCAGGCCTTGAAGGATGAGGCAGAGAGAGTCAGGGAGAGCAGAGGAGGGAGCAGGGTCATCCAGAGAGCTGTGAAGCTCCTGGAATGTGTGTGGGATCACCAGATGGTCCTGCTTGAACAGCAGAGCCAAGGCATGAGTACACACTGGGACCTCAGAATCCTGTGTCTAAATGTTTGAAAATTGCAAATCAAGCTTTAAAAACAGAAAAATAAACAATTTTCTATCTTCTGTCTTGAATATATACCTTTTTAACCAAAATATATACCAAATTTAAAGATTTATGGAAATCTATGGTGTTATACTACTAAAAAATGGGCAAATAGCAAAGGCAGCTAAACTTAATTATTATTGAGCATTTCTGAGCAGAGATCAGCAAGTTTGATGAACAAGAAAACAAAGGCAATTAATAAATTATTGTATGTTTATTTCATGTCATTTTCATGCTTTCAATTTAGCAAAATCATTGGAGTCTTAAATCAGACTTTTACATACTTGTTTTCCAATACTAATAACTTATAGAATTAGAAAACTGTGATTATATTCAAAATGTCATAAATAAAGTGAAATTTTCTCAAAAGCACAAATTAAACATGAAAATTAATTTAATTATTAAATGTTACCCAATTATTTCCTTTTATAATATTATAAATTATATAAAAACAAAGATAAAATTTAAATTGTAGCTAGTTGAACATCAAGTATTTAATCAAATATTTAATCTTCATATATTAAATGTATTTAGCTTTAAATATTTAATATTTCATTTATCAAATATATTTAGCCAAATATTCAATCAAAATATTTAAAGCTTAAAATATGTGATTTTTAAAATGTTTTAAATAAACACATTAATTAAAATTATACTTTTATTTAAGTTGAACATTTCAATTATTAATTATTTCAATTTTTTAAAATAATTTAGAATTTGAATAATAAAACTTATTACATATTATTACCCCAAATTGAACTATTTACAATGTTTTTCATGTGTCCATCTCTCTGCCAATGCCAAGTTAATACCATGTTTCATACATGCTACATCTGAATCTACAATAATATGAATCTAAGGTAATATGAATAGCTCAACATTGCAAAATGCTCTTTCACTGACATGTAATCTATGCTGTAGCCTGTGACTTTCTTTCACTTTTGAGAAAATGCTGTGCCCTTTCTATCATATGGGTTTGCATTTGCTTTTCTCTCTAGCTAGAAAGTTTTTCTGCTGATCTTCAGCCGACCAGCTCCTAGAGTCCTTGCCTGAACTTGTACCATCTCCAACACCTATTCCTTTAGCTTCCTTCACAGAATACTTTACAGTCTAGATTTTATTGATTTTTTAATTTATCATCTGACTGACATATTCCTTTTGAGTAGAGAAAACATTTCAATTTGTTCAATGTTATATAAGCTTTTAGCACAAAACTAACTCAGGAGAGGCACTAACAAAATTGTTTACTGTCCTTCCATACCTGGTATTCTGCATAGCAACAAAAGTGGACATCTCATAGTTTTCCAGAACCTTCCAGGGAATATCTAGGGCTACTCTGTACCCTTGCTCAGACTATTTCATCTGTTCGGACGTCTCTCCCTTTTTCTATAACTGAGTAACCTCTTGTTTTAGATAGCTTTTTAGTCTCTGTGAACCACTCAATAAGAACAGCTTAGAGGAGAAAATGTTTATTTCCTCCTCATGGTTTCAGAGGTCTCTGTTTATAGATAGCCAACTCCATTGCCCTGTCCTCAAGGTGAAGCAGCACATTAGGGGAGAAGGGCCCAGAAGAAGGATCTTGCTCATATTGGGGTGGGGAACTCAGGCAGCAGTGAGAGGGACAGGGAAGGATCCACAGTGAAGATGCACTCTTCCAAGCACACCCTGAGTGACTCACCTCCTCTAGCCACACCCCACCTACCTATAATTACCACACTATCTGTCCATTCAAACTAGGATGAACTGATTGATTATAATACTCATAATCTGATCATTTTACTCTTTTAGGTGGAGGACAACTATCCAAACCACAACACCACTACTTATTTTTTAAGCCCCGGGTCAGGTAGCATCTCCAGGGGACGGAATAATTTAGCACACTTTTGCTTTGCCTCCATAGAATCTCCTGGCTTTTCTGTAATACCTAATACTCTGTGGGCAATACTACCATACCTTATTTGTCATTTCTCTCTGTATTTTGATTCTAGTGTCTAGTATACTGCAGATGCTCTGTACATGCAGTTACATGGGACTGTAAGGTTTTCTTTGCTTCTAGCAGGGAAGGAACATAAAATCCAAAGTCAGACTGCCTGCAATAAAATCTCAGCACCACCATTTACCTACCACATTGTCTTGGAAAAGTCACTCGACTTGTGACTCAGTTTCCTAATCCATAAAATAGAACTGAAAATAAGAGGTATCTCATAGGTTGTTGTTAAGATTAAATTACTGAATGCATACAAAGAATTTAAAATTAAAATTGACTGTGCTTGGTGAAGAGTCAATAAATGGTAACCCTATCTTTACATGAAATATTTCTCATAGATATTTCCTTTTTCAGGACTAGAACCAACTTAAGAAGTTTTGCAGTATTTCTTCTCATGTAACAGTAATGAACTTTAGTTTATGGCAAATTTGTGATTATCTTGGCACTGGCCTCTTTTCTGATTGGGCACACATACAAACCATGACTGGTTGCTTGACTGCTGTGCAACTTAGGGAGTATGTACATATTGCCAGTCTGTGCCACTTGGCAGCTTAGAAAAGTTTAACTTAATTTATTTAAAAAAGGAGAAGTGCAGTACATGTGTAACTAGTACTATGTAAATATGCTTAAGTCTATCCCCATATGTTTTGTTCAAAATGTTTTACACTGTTAAGTAGAAAAAGAAAACAGATTATATATCACCTCCCTGTTCAAAAATTTTCTATAGGTCCAGGAATAGGAAAGAAAGTTTAAAATATCCTAGCAGATATTCAAAGGACATAAAATGAATGATGGCAATAGAACAGTAACTTTAAAAATATAGAAGGGACTAATTATCATATAAAATGAAGCTGATTAATAACTTTTAAAAAGCAAATAAAAAGACCTATATTTCATCTATAAAATAACAAAAATTTTAAAAATGAATATTTGATGTTGGCAAGAATGTAAGGAAATACATACTCCTACACAGTATATGGGCAATGCAATTTTAAGTTTAAAAAAGAATAAAAATAGGTATCAACAGCCTTTAAAAATAACATATCTATGGGTTTAAATTTTATTTCCCAGAATAGTATAAAGAAAATTAAAAGTTTTGACAAAGTTTCAGTATAGAT